GAGAGAGAGAGAGAGAGAGAGAGAGAGAGAGAGAGAGAGAGAGAGAGAGTTCTTTGTGTTGCATTGGGTTGATATCTGGTGACTTGATGACGACACACACACACAGCGTCTGTTTTCTTGTATTGATGCCCACTTGTTTGCATTTGCCTATTCTACAAGGTGCAGGGAAGAGGGAGGGGAGAGGGAGAGGATAGGGAGGGGAGAGACGCAAAAGAAAAGCAAGGGGAGAACGAAGAGCGAAGCAAGTAAAAAAAAGCGAAGAACGAAGGAAAAAGCAAGAAGAAAGGTGAAAACTTTTGCCAATGAGTATCTATGTTCCTTCTCTTTGCATTGGGCCTACTGGGGTTCTTCTCCTTCTCCCTTTTCTTCTCTCTGCCTTTCATCTCTCCCCCCTCACTTCCTTTTGCTTGTCTTTGATCGCTATGTTCCCTCTGAGGAACTGCTCAATGCAAGCAAACGAGTATCGCTAAGAGAACTGACAGTTATATAGGCGCAAGTGCCGAAAGGCAGACAGGTGTGTGTGTGGGCACCTGACACTCAACTACAGGAGGTCTGACTAAACCAGGTTTGAAGTTTGAACCAGTGGTCCAGTGGATAATTTATTATTATTATTTTTTCCCAATTAAATTAAAAGGGGCAGACCACATATGCTGAAACTGATGCTTTGCTACCTCTACTGATGGCCAAGGGCTTTATTCTTTATTTTTTATTCTTTATTCTTTATTCTTTATTCTTTATTGAAGTTTATTCTTTTTTCTTTATTCTTTATTCTGTATTCTTTATTCTGATCCAATCTGCCATGATGTCGAGACATAGAGACTGTTTGAAATGAACACGATGGATATGTCAAATGTGCTATGGTTGGTCTATGGGCTATCGAAATTTAATCGAAATATGTGAAGAAGCAGTACGGACCACCACCAGAGACAGCGGGGAACACAGACATGGCTATAAATTTATAAAATATGAAAAATAATTATAACCACTCATAAGGCAACTGATAGAGTGGAGAGTCTTGAGACTTTATGAAAATTATTTTACAATTTAATATTTATTTAATTTAAAGGAAGTGGGCTCCATGGTTTGGTTGGAGCAAGAAAAGTGAGAAAAAGTAAACGAGCAGGGAGGGGAGGGATAGATTTAAGAGTTGACGAATCTGGCCAACCAGAGTGACCAGAGTGCTCTGAGCCGAAAACAATTGTGCAACCTTGCCTATCGCCTGCGGATTAAGGTCTCGAGTCTCGAATCATTCCGCCTGCGAAAAATTCAATAGCAAGTCTCGAGACCAGAATCCTCTGCTATCATAGGCCCGTGACCAGATATTATCTAAGAAATCCCAAAACCCCTTAGCAATTACACATTCCCACCATAGGTGTAACCAGTCCCTCCAGACTTGGGTGGGAACACGCATCACAAAACACACAGACACATCCATTCCTTTCTCCGATCACCAGAGATCCGTGGGAACACATGAATGCTGCTGTGACCATTGGAGACCACCTCCTTTGGTTTCCAAGGATGAGAGAATCATTTGAATAAAGAAAAGGATCCCTTTTTTATTTTTTATTTTTTTTTATTTTATGAGAGGGTGCTTGGAGATTCAGGGAGAAATCTTAATCTATCAGTTATTAACTGACAAGCCTGCTTGCAGTGCTCTGTCGTCCGAATCTCCGGCTGTATCCGGGGCTTGGATGCATGATCTGTGAGGACATCTTAATCTGCCAGCAGACTAACCAGCTTGGTTATTAACTGATAAGCCTGCATGCAGTGCTCTGGCGTCTGAATCCAGTCTGTACGGAAGACTGGATGCATGATCTGTAATAGGGACCACCTTCGTAGAGTTTCCATTTGAGTCAGTCAGAGAGTAACCAGCCGGTTCTGGACACGTCCACCTTCCACTGATTGACGGGGATCGCTTGCATCACGACTCGGGAGGAGGTAGTGTTGCCTGCAGAGTGTTCTCGCTGGACTCTGACGCACTCAGTCTGCTGCAGCCTTGAGTCGCGTAGTGACCATGTAGATGCCTCCACTGCACTTAGCCATCCTCGTTGACTTTGTGCACTCTGAGTACTCTGAGTAATTGGTCCGTAGAGTGTGGCTCCGTTTACTATCGCTGCTCCTTGTACCTGTTACTCGGCGGTTCGGAATCTTCGGATAAGCCAGGTGAGTACTCAGCTCCTTACAGGCCCCCGACTCCGTTGGTATGGGTTGAAAAATTGCTGAGATATAGAGACTTTTTCTAAAGTAGTACTTTTTTGTATATCCATGTGATTAACCAAAGTATACTGATATTGACCGTATAATAAGACTAGATTCTTTTGAGATTCTAAATTGGATACATTTTGAAGCAGTTTTAGCCACCACTTCGTGTCCAGCAATTCGGCGGAGATGTCCGAATTGCTGCACTTGACAGGTCTTCCGGTACTCGGTGTCGTCGTCCAATATATTGCAGATCAGCCGCACACTCGGCGGTTCGGAATCTTCGGATAAGCCAGGTGAGTGCTCAGCTCCTTTCAGGCCCCCGACTCTGTTGGTATGGGTTGAATAATATATTGAAGGTGTTGGTCTGTCTGATGCAGGCCAGCCAGGTGAGTGTGCGGCTCCTTACAGGTCTTCCGGGATTTGGTGTCGTCGTCGTCCAATATATTGCAGATCAGCCGGGGACACCCCGTTGCATCGGGCTGCGGCCAAAGTGACCTGTGGTTCATGGGACAGAGAAGGGAAGCCCAGTCACATTCCTGATGGATGGGTTTTCAACTTTCCACAGAGACAAGAATTGAGGATTTCCATTCTAGTTACGGGTTCTTCTAATGGGTGAAGAATTTAGAACAACGACAACAACAACAACCGCTGGAGCACGACTAACGCACCACACCCCCAACACGATTCAACAGCTGTCTCTTATACACATCTAGATGTGTATAAGAGACAGGGCCAAAGTGACCTGTGGTTCATGGGACAGAGAAGGGAAGCCCAGTCACATTCCTGATGGATGGGTTTTCAACTTTCCACAGAGACAAGAATTGAGGATTTCCATTCTAGTTACGGGTTCTTCTAATGGGTGAAGAATTTAGAACAACGACAACAACAACAACCGCTGGAGCACGACTAACGCACCACACCCCCAACACGATTCAACAGAATCCCCAACCCACCGAACCCCAGCCCAGACACACAACGACAATCCCCAACCAACCCCAACTAACCTGCAAGGCCACAAGGCCCACAACCAACAACAAAAAAACACCATGCCCAAATCCACTGCCAACCCATAGCCAACCACCGCCTGCAAGATAACCCCTGACCCACGACCAACCCACAAACAACAACCACACATGTACTGTAATCCTTTTGCGCTGGTTTTTTTTTTTTTTTTTTTTTTTTTTTTTTTTTTTTTTTTTTTTTTTTTTTTCTTTAAAAAAGGAACCCCCAAAAGACGATTTATTACCCGGGCCCCCGCCCAAAGAACACCCCCAACAACCCAAAAAAAAACAAAAATAAAAAAAAAAAAAAAAAAAAAAAAAAAAAGAAAAGCAAGTAGAAAACTATGTGGCAAGAAAGCCGACGATGAATTTTGTTGTTTCCTCTGTGTGATTAACAAAATTTGCAATTTCAAAATGTCTGCTTCATCCCCCAGAATTGAAGGGGCTGTGTGTTTTTGGGTGAAGAAAAAAAGAAAAAAAAGGTCTGCTTCCCTCTACTCCCTCCATCTATCTTCTCCTGCGCTCTACTTCCTCTCTCTGCTCTCCTCCTTGACTGACTTGTTTTTTCGGTTTTTTCGTTGTGTTTTTTTTTTCCCCCATGTCGTTTTCTTCTGTCACCAACATCAAAACCTCAACGACATCGACTTGGATCCAGAGTGTATTTGAACTGAAGGATGGATCTGCGCTGTTCGTCACGGTGGCCAAGTATTTGTCGCCCGCGCTTCACCAAATCGACAAAGTGGGAATCGAACCGAATCAGAAGTGTAATGTGAGCGATGCTGTGGACGTACCTATTCCTCTCGATATCAGTAGAGGGGAAGACGCTTTCTCAAGCCAAATAGAGCAGGACGGATGCGTCGCAGCTGCGGCGAAGATCATCCTGGAAAATCACCAGGGGGTAAAAGTCGCAAGCCAACAGATTTGATGCCATGCGTATTCTGTGGGGTTTTCCTGTGCCTGTTGCCGTCTGTGAAATCACAACAACTCGTCATGATCCCGCGTCAGCAAGATCTGACGTAAGCATCACAGTTCACACAAGCGTCGACAGACCACTCCAATGGAGCAGGACGGGCGGCTGCGATGCAGCTTCTGCGAAGATCATCTGGATGGACGGCTGCGATGCAGCTTCTGCGAAGATCATCTTGGAAAATCACCAGCGGGTAAAAGTCGCAAGACAACAGATTTGATGCCATGCATATTCTGTTGTTTTCCTGTGCCCGTTGCCGTCTGTGAAATCGCAGCAACTCGTCATGATCCCGCGTCAGCAAGATCTGACGTAAGCATCACGAGACCGCTCCAAGGAGGTCGACCGTTTGCAACCATCGGTGCAGAAGGTGAGATATACTACGCGACAACATTGCTAGCAAGCCGCCTGGTCGATGAACAAACTGTCTGTTTTATATCGGGATAGCAAACGGTTTAATAATTTAATTAGGACTATGTCTTCGCTGTATCATTTCACATGTGTATAACTCGCGCTCCTTTTTTTTTTTCGTCCTTTTTTTTTTTTTTCCCGCTCACATTCTTGTAATCCTGTAAGAGATAGGATAGTGCTTCGATGCAGAGGTACTGCAGCAAGTCAGTCCAAGCATGAACATTTGAGAGACGAGTACTTTCACACGCACACCCAAGCACTCGTACACTTCACTCGCTGCATCTTCCTAATGCTGTAACTTACTGTACAAATTCTCCTCAGATTTGTAATTAGTCCTTTTTTTTTTTTTTTTTTTTTTTT